TGTAAAGATTCAGTACGACTTCATTTTGTTCGGGTGACAAAGCATCGACCGACCGGTAAACATTGTTCACCTCATTGATCCATTCTTTTATCGGAACTGTTTCACTCGGTTTTAATTGACCGCCTCCATTTATACAGCCAGATGGACAGGCCATCACTTCGATGTAATGATATTGCATGTTTCCGTTTTTGATCTTTCGGACAAGATTTTGTATGTTTCGAAAACCGTATGCCGATGCGAATTTCAACAGGGGTTCCCCTTCGACCTAAAGCCGAAACGAGATGGCGATTAGAATATTCCTACATTCGGCCAAGATGAGCGAAGGTGACACGGATCATACGCACTTCAAGTATAACCTCCTTAAAATCCTTGTTACGTCCGGTTTTAACCATTACACCCTTTGCTCGCTCAACATCAATTTCGGTTATTCCAAATAGTTCGCGCGCCGAATATTCAAGAATAAATTCCAAAAATCCTCCTGAAGCTGAACCCGACGATCGCAACAGTTGACCATCCTGTGTGGTCTTCGTCAGTGAATGTAGGTATGATTCAGGACTCTCCTTGATGTTGTAATTTTGTTCTTCAAACATATCGATGACCTCAACTGTTGTAATGACACAATCAACATCTCGAGTTTGATATTTTTCATCGAAAAAATCTGTCCTTGACGCCTCCAATTTCTTATCATAACACATCATAATTCCAACGTGATAAATGTTGTTTGGCCTAGACGTTTGCGCAAATTACACGAAATTTAATAGAAGAAATATGATTATCGGTGAAACTCGTTCGTGTACCCACATGACTCCAATCTTTTTCGCGAAATAATCTTTGACAATCGAACCCATGATTTGTTGGGGTGATTTGGTTTGACTTATGTACGGTAATATAAATCCGTGAGTTTTTTCAGCGTAGCATATCCACCCCGGGCAAGACGAAGCCAACATTGGCAAACTCGAATCTTCGAAACCCTTCGATTTATTGGTTTTATTCATCGACGGTGATCTTTGTTGTTGTTGTTGTTGTTGTTGTTGTCTCCTGTCCTGATATTCTCGGTAGCGTTCCACAAACTCTCGAGCACTTTCAAGTAAGGAAAAGTCCTGTGAGAATGAAGTGTCAAAAACATAATCCACCCCAAGTGATTGGAAAAAGTGAGTCATACGTCGGAACACCTGGAATTTCAAATTGCGATGAGTAGAACCCGGTAGCATGCAGAGATTTTCTAAAAATAAATTAAAGTTACCTGCTGTGGTGTTAAATTGTACCTCGCTGCAATAGAGGCTCGAGACTGAGGTGCGATCGAGACCACCACAGTCTTCACCTCGTCGACCCTTCCTTCTTGTCTAGCTTGCTTGTTACTTTTTAGTACGTTGTACAATTCTTCGTGAGTCTGCATCGTAATGAGGACACTCTCGGCGGACGTGATGCATCCGCTAATTTAAGATAATGTCTTCAGTGTATTTTCTTTAACAAATCATTCATTTCACTAGTCAGAAAATACTGATCAAACCTGCAAGCTAAACAGTCATCCAAGGTAATCTTTGCTTTCTCAAGTTTTGTCTCGGCACCATCTTGGAAGACTTCGTAATAACCGCCAGAATCATCTATTTTGATCACGTTCTATAAATTCAGCGAACAA